CAATGAAAAATAGCATCTGCCTATGGTGTAATTTGTCCCAGAAAAGTATATCCTTGTCTCTCTAGACTGCAAAGGAGCCTAGAGCTACCATCCTCTTAATTAAGATGTTTTGGTTAGGGCACTAGAGTTAGGGGTGCAGAACAGCGTGTAGCCAAATGTGCCGGAAGATTTTAGATGTCATTTGCATTTAGCATTGTTTCTGAGGAATAATGTCAGATATAGACAACTGAAATCTGCTTAAGTCTTGTTTAAGGCAAGGTGCAAGTCTGCAGCATTTTTAGGGAAAACTGACATTTTTTTTAATTTTATTTTTTACATGCTTCCATTTTCTCTGTCACAGAGCACTCACAACAGTTTCTCTGCATGTATAATGTAAAGGATGAATTTTGATTTCTTTTGCTATTGTCTTTGTCTTTTCTAAATTTTTTCCCAATTACAAAATTTTTCATTGTGTTTTTTGACACAAGGAAAGTGTGTATGTAATTACTTTGACTGGACTGCACTAAAATAGTAATCTGATTTTTAAAATTAAAAGAAATTCTCTTTGACAAATGGTAAAAGCTGAAACAGAAGAAAAGCTGAAAACAGAGAAAGCAGACAGCTAACTGACAACCAGTCTTCTTCTGATTTTTCTCAAAAAATATGTGAATTTCATATACCAGGAACTTGTCTATGTAAGCTAACAGTAGACCTCTTCCCCCTCCAAAAGGGGAAAATAAAAAAAAAAACCAAGGCAATTAAATGTAATGGGACACTGAAATACTACATCAAGAATTAATGTCTTTTGCTGATACAGAAATTGTATCTTTAGATATATTTGCCAGTATAACTTACGGTCGCATAAAACTGCTGGGTGTGTGCTCCAGCCGTCATGGAAGCTGGAATGGCTGGGGCTCACCAGGAAGGTGACTGACTGGGGTTTGAGAAACCCAGGCAAAGTAAGAAACTTTGTGAATAACTTGCTCTAAATACCCAAAGAACAGCAAGACTCCTGCGCTGCCATCTTCTTCACAGAACAGGTATTTTGGAGGATCTCCGTTCTTAGCAACATTATCTTCACTGGCCTTATCCAAATCAATATGTTTTATCATTTGGCACTAATATGTATACTTAGCCTGAAAATATAAGATACTAATTCAAATATAGGAAGCTAATTAATCTTAAGAATACTTAAAGGGAAACAAGCTTACATTGGTCAAATCCTGTCCTCATGGAAAACTCAGAGGAATGGCTATGCAGCAAATGTGACAGGTGTCAGTTCAAAAGACTACTCTTAGATATTAATACTATTCAGTCACCATCTTATGGTGACAGTAAGAAGACAAAAAGAATCATCATCACTCTAGGAGCTAAAGGTGACATATGAGTATTTTTGTGGGAAAATGCAGCATGCTCTGCACTTAATGGTAATTCCACCAGCAGCCACCTTCTTTCTCATTGTAGTAATAGAATTAATGTCTTCCAAATCAAAAGTGTACAAGAAAGAGGCAAGTGGCTGCATATGCTTCTAAGAAGTCCATGTTTTATCTTGACTAAATATAAATGGGTAACATTCTTGTCTTGTTTTGGTTGTAAAAATATCTTTTTGTTCTGTGACAGGTGATGAAATACTTTAAAAAATCACTGTTTTGTGGGTTTGGTTAGTTTGGGTGTTCTTTAATCTGCTTTATTCTTTTCTTGCAATGTTTTTAATGTGCCTTATAAGAGCTGCTCTTAGTGCTGAAGTAATATATTTTAGCTGTCTTTTTCTTAAGAACAGACTTAAAAGAAATGATGCTGATTGATGTTCTTGATGTTTCCTAAATCTATACAGTCTTTGCAGTATTCAGTCCTGTGAGTAATGTAAAATGCTTCTTACATTGCATATGTCAATGAAATGATCTAGCCCTGAGAAATTTTGCCTACATTTTTTTTTCAGTTTGAAGAATGCAAAGGCATTAGCATTTTTACATTTATAAGCACATGATGCATAAATCGTGCTTTTCCATAAATACTTAGATTGCAAATTGACAAAAAATGCAATATGAGAACCATTTCCCTGCGACCATATTCCTGAAATACTGCAGCATCAAAGATAATACATTTAAACAAGATAAACTTGCTTTTATAGCAGAATGAATTTGTTCAGCATTTGTAGAGTAGTGCTCTGGGAGACAATCTGTGCTGTCATAATTCAGTGACTAAATTCCTTGATTTTCCCTACTTAGGTAGCAAAAAACTAGTGTAGACACATGTCATATAGAAAGCAATAAATCTATGCCCTAATGACAATGAAATTCTTGCTGTAAGTATGGATCTGTAGAATTTACTCTAAAGAAGACACCGTCAGCACATAGGACCATCATATCTTTATTAATTTTTATTTATATTATCAGGTTTTTGTTGTTGTTGTTTTTTGGTTTGGTTTGGTTTTGTGTTTCGTTTTGGGTTTTTGTTTTGTTTGGTTTGGTTTTGCCTGGGAAGATCCCTTGCCCTGTCAGTCTTTGTCATTTGTTGTGAGCTCTGCTGTTGTCAGGGCCTGGTGCTTCTGAAAGATTAGATGGAATTTGGCCCTCAGACTGCAAAATGCTCTTTGGAGTCAGGATCAATGTCTTCTTTAGGATTTCACATTTAAAACAGACTGAGAAACTACTACAGCTTTGACCTCTGAAGTTATTAATGCTCCCTGTTGCAGTAAGTGAGGGTATGGAGCCATTCCCACCAACCTGTGAAGGTTCTGTATGGAGGAGCAAAGCAGAGCTGTCTGAAGGCAGAATCTGGTAATCGACTGTAAAGTTATTTTACAAGAGACAGTGTAATTATTAAAACACAGACAGATCGTGCTTTGATATACTAAGCATACTGTCTGCACTTTCTCTGAGGCACTAGACAAGTAAATGAGAAATAAAAATAGATGCCTTGAGGGGGAAGAAAATAAGATTCAAACTCTGCAGCCTTCATTCATGGCCTGATTGCTCCCCCCAACCTCCCTGCCCCATTTGTGCCTCAGACTCCACAAAAAGACAGCTCCACAGCCAGAAGAGGAGCGTATTTATCAGCAGCACTGCCAGACAAACCTTTGCATTTTAAGAAAGTAACACTGTAGTTTTCTATTATACACCTTTTGTTCTAAAGAGCTTTATTTAGCCTACACAAATATGGATTACTTCAGTTGGTTTAAGCTATCTTAGGTTTCTAATTTATTCTAAAGTTCTTGCCATTCCTTGTTTCCTGGAAGTGTTTTATTTTTCTTCATGCAATGACTTAACCCTGGTACCCAATAGGAATAGAAATAAACATTTCTGTTTCCCTTCAAGCTTCTGTTTCTTCTCCATGCTAGTTATATTTCTGGAAAAAGCAGCCGATGCTAGTGAATATCCTCTTGAACATCATTAATAAAGGCTGTGATCAATCTTTGTCTCTTGCATTTTGTGCCGTGTAGCTTCATTTTCTTAATACTTTTTTTCTTTCTATTGTTTGATTGTGCAAATTTTCCTTCACTTTTCAATCTCTGCAAGAGATACTTGTGTGTATGTGAATCTCAATTAATCTTAAACCCATGTTCAAAGGAATATTGTATGAAAAAATTCAAAAGTGTGGATATATTGGTTCAGCTGGAATAAAATATAATTGAGTTTAAACAGAACTGTGAACTTACCAAGACGCTTCAAAGAGAAAAGCACTTCTCCCTCCAACTAAGGAAGTAAGAATTGGTCCCATAGTAATTACTAAGTCATACTAATATAATTTTCTAAAATTTATAATGAAGCTAAATTAACATTAACCCCTAAGTTGTTTGTATATATCCGTAGGAAGGTTAATATTTTTTCCATTTCAGACTGTTTTCAGACATTTTTATGCTATTTGTTTTCATTTGTTGGCTATTTTTCCCCATCCACTTACAACCTCAAATAGAGTACTTTGTTTCTCTTTTTAGTTCTGTCCTTCTTAATAAAAACAGTAATCTCTAACACAGGAATGAATTTCTGAATGTACTGTTCACATGCACAGAAGCTGGCAGCAGTGCTTATCAATATCTCTTGCACAGAAATTGGTGTGCTCATTCAGGCTTTTATCCATCATACACACTTTGTTTCACCCCACATCAGGTTTCTCAAAGACTGTCCCACCACTGTGGGGACATCCTCCTGTTTCTGTCTCAGCTTGTGTCATGCCCAAACCTTTGAAGCCTTTAAACTTTTGCCTGCCATGAAAGCCCATACTCTTCTGCTCTCCTAGATCCTTTCTGCCTGTCTGCTGTGAGCTTTCATCTTGATTCTGGGAGACTGAAGAGCAATACATGTACTCCAGCATAAGATCTGATGAGACTCTGTGGGTTTGCCCACCTTTTAATTATTACCTGTTCCTGACAAGGTTTCCCTGGTTCTCTCAGATGTAGCTCTTGAAAGATCTGCTTGTATTTTACTTCTTGTGATCTGGAAGTGGAATACAACACTTTCTCCACCATTTACAAAGTTACTGTTTTAAACACTATTGTTCCCTGTGCTCCTGCTTATTGCCTAAATCATGTCAGGAAAAAGCTGAATAGTTTTTTTGTAAAAGAAATAAATCCACAATCTTTCCTCTGACTGGAACAGTCACTTTGAGAGCCTACTCTTTCTCCAACTTATTCTTTCAGGAGTCTGTAAGCTTGCAAATTCTCAGTCCAGAAGTATCAGTGGCAGCACCAAGGTCACCAATAACCTCTTTTAGCAGCATTCCCTACTTTTACTCATTAGGTACCTAGGTGTTACAATAGGTTTTACAATAAATTGAAGAATAACTCCATTTCTGTCATCAGCAGGTGGAATCCAATAGACCAAGCTGCACAAACTTTCTGCAGATTGAAGATTTCCAAGATTGAAAGACGGGTAAAAAGCAAATGTTGGTTTTTATTTAAACAGGAATTAATATTTCCTGTAGCTTACTATAGTGAAGATCAGACCAAAAGAAGGAACAAATCAAATAAAGCAGGCAGGTAATCATGATAATTTAAAGTAGGTAAAAGCAGGAACAGTGTGTAGGTTTAAAAATACATTTATTAGATAATGGCATAAGATCAAGACTTTCTGCTTCTGGGATTCATTTTGATGAGGCTCAGTTCATGACCCCAAGTCTGGAAAAACAGAGTAAGAAAAGAGAATAAATTATCATTATCTATCTGGACAGATACTATCAGATTGACTAACAATTTGCTTTTAAGTCTGTTTATATCTGCTAGAAAAGTTAACAGCTGGATAATTAAATTCTCTGCCTCTCCCAGAGGGAGTAGAGTGTGCTTAAAATGTTACTGGCCACAGAAATTATTCCAATGAGTATGCTCCTGTTTTACTTAGAGATCCCTTTATAAATGTTAATTTACCTCCTCTAAGTACAAATATACAACTGCCTTGATACTAAATGTGTCCCACTAGCAGCATGAACTTAAGTATTCAAAACATTTAGTCCTTTATCAGCATTTAAACTATGGCATACTGATCAATACATGCCATACTGCTCCTTCTGAAGAACCCAGAATCTCTGCTTTTCCTATCAGCAGCAGAACAGACATACCATACATAAGAAATTAATTTCCTTCTGTAGGTCAGGTGGACACAAATTATTCCTAATGTGTTAGTATGGATGTGCAACATTTCCTTGCTTCCAGTTAATGCCTATTTTAGTGAGCTGCTATATATAGGCTTAAATAGAAGTAGCAGGAGCAGTAAAAGCAGCAGTGGTTATAACAAAAATAAAAATAATTAGTATCAACAATAATAATAGAGGTCCCATTATTAACCTTTTATTCTGCCATTTAGTGGGAGGAATAAAAGTATTTTGCAATTCTAGATTAAGTATTTTGTAGCAGTATTTCATAGGTTATCTTCTGTTTAATACTGTGAGTGTAAACCTTTATGGAAAGGACTGACTTTTCTTTCTGTGCTTGTATTGAACCTGACACACTTTATGTCAACAGCAACTAGTAGGTGCTGCCATTAAGACAGGGAAAAAACATTTATGCTTCTTCTTCAGACATTTATGTTGGTACCAATAAATGAAATAAAATGCAAGGTGAGATTTTTATATGGAATAGAGCTATGTTGCACTCATAAAATATATTTCATAAATAATTTTTTCAATGTGTGTATTATGTCCAAACTCTCTTCCACTTGTCCAAACGTGAGATATCTCTATCCTGGAGTGTTTCACAAACACACCTACTCTATACTCTATGCCATAATGTTACAGCAGACTTGATGAGCAGTGTCCTTCACACATTTTTTGTTTGTACATATGACATGTAGGAAGCAAAAGGATAAATGCTGATTTCCATGTTTTACAGTAAAATTTTAGTTTCTTATGTTTCCATTTTACTTGATTTGGCATGATGACATCTGTTAGTTATTTGGGAGGTAGATACTTCTAAGTGTCCTGGAAGGCTGATATGAAATATGGAATAGGAAATATGAACAATTGAGGATAATTTTTTTTTTGTTTTGTTTAAAGCAACTGAAAAAATTCTCCAAAAAATTAAAAAAAAAGAACAACACCTAACATTAATGAAAGTAACTTAAACACTGTATATATACCATGAGATTAGAATATTATTTACAAAACAATCTAAAATTTAATACTAGTACTAAAATGAGAAGTTGAAGCACAGAATTAAAATATTTATATAGATGCTCTCAGATTTTCTGTTAGAATTGATAATTCTTGATGAGCAAATTACTGACAGAGTTTCTTAGATTTATGCAATATCTTTACCTAAAAACTTCCAAGGTCAGCCAAATGATTTTAATGTAATACAATGTGTTGGAAAATAATCTAATCCTAAATTGGTCAAGTGTACTTTACTTTAAAAAAATGGGAATTTATGCCAAATTTATTTATATTTTAAAACCAAAATAAAGTAAGCATTATTTACTATTGGAAGCAATATCAAATTGTGGTTCTCTTCCAAAATAGAATTTTTGAATTTGTAAATTAAGGAATAATTTAGCTTGTATAAACTCTTTCTTAATAGCAATAAAATTAGAGAATGAATGACTGGAGAAAAGGGAAAAATATATTTGGCTCTGAAGAGTTTATAAGACTGATAATTTGGGGGAAACTGCATTTTATATTCATAAACTGAGGTTATTTATTATTATCAGCTCTATTGGTGAAAAAGTTGTTCTTTTTTATTATAGATTCAATGAGAATGTTGCAGCAGTTGAAGCATTCAATAGAAAAAAGGAAAATAAAAAGAATAATTTATTGGGAATTCCTGAATCATTCTTGACAAGGTGTTGTGAGGAAGGGCAACAAAATAAGTGATATCTAAATCACAGCAATGAAGTAGAGAAATGTTTAATGTCCATTTAGCAATAAAGAGGTTTTTATAATTATTTTGGCAACTGATTTTTATGTTGCTAGTCCAACTTAATGAACATCACAGTGAAATTTAAAGTAAATAAGAGAATGATATAAACATTTCTAGTTATTTATTTAAATTCATTTTTGAGATTTACTATAGAACAATAAAGATTATTTTCCTCAAATTTGTCGATTTGGAAATTAAGAACATCTTGGATCAGTCTTACTTTGGACCATTAAAAATTTTGCAGAAGTATTGCCCTGGCTAACATGACTTCCTTCTGGCATAAGACTCTGGGAGGAGCCTAAGTGTAACTGTACTAAGAAATTTAAAGACTTTGAGAAATATCTATGCACATTCCTTTGCAATTTTAAAGGCTGCCTTAAAACAGTATCATTTTTCCTATACCAGAAAGTATGTTAATACAAAATATTACTTGAAAGATGCTATTTTTCAATGATACTCTATATTTTAAAGGCTGTAGTTCATGTTTTATTCCTGCTGCTCAGCCTCTGCAAGGTGACTTTCATAGATCTGACTTGTTTGAAATGTTATTCATGTTCCATAAGGCACTACAAAATTGTAAGGGTTGCTTCCTTTGTAATTTAATATTCTCTTCTGATCTCTGTGTCATTTTTCTCAGAGTTAATTAGCAAAAGATTGGAATGGGGAATTCATAGAAGTCTTTATTAAAATTATGTTAAAGGGTAAGAAAATTCAGTGGAGACTTCCTAAAGTGCACAGTGTTAGTATACAGTAAATATATTTTTCTATCAGGTTTTCATACTAAAATTATTCATATGTAGAACATTGATTATCTATATGTTCAACTGGTAAAGCAAAAAATTCTTTTGGCGTAGTACTCAGATGGCATCTTTAGTGATCCTGTAGTATGTTTTTAAGACTCTTAAGCCTTAATATATCATATCAGTTTCAGGCAAATTTTGTGGAAGGCTTTTGCTGTTCACAGTGACCAAAAACACAGAAGAAAAAAAAGAGGTAAAGATGACAATAACATCCCTAAGACAATATAGGGTGAAAGGATCCAGTCTACAGTTCTCAATTTCTGTACTCCACAGATAATCCAGTGATATGTGCCTGTTCTTCTTCTGAGTTTTGAGTAAGATGGAATCTCTCAAATAACCACTAATTAGAACTGAGAGAAACTTACACTATTAGAATATGGCATTCTTCCCTTCACCCCCTTTTTTTTTTCCCCCCCCAACAAAATAAGTATCTAGAGATATAACTGAAATGCTCTGGTTTGTGAGAATATCACTCAAACACTGCATGTGCAGTGTCTGGTGCTGCAGTGCAAATGCTATTTAATTCATTCTGGGCTGATAGCAAAACTTAATCTTCCTTCCAGATTTTATTCAAGAAAACACTCCATGGTAAATCTGAATAATAATAATATGCTTTCTCCCTTCTGTGTGAAACCTAAAACATCTGTGACTGGGTCAGACTTGAGGCTGATCACGATCTGTACTGTCCCTGTCAGCCCAATGTAGATGTTTAGGGAACAGTGTAAGAAAAGGTACAAACCATTTCCTTCCTTCCTTCCTTCCTTCCTTCCTTCCTTCCTTCCTTCCTTCCAGCCTTCCTTCCTGCCTTCCTTCCTTCCTGCCTTCCTGCCTGCCTTCCTGCCTTCCTGCCTTCCTGCCTTCCTTCCTGCCTTCCTTCCTGCCTTCCTTCCTGCCTTCCTGCCTGCCTGCCTTCCTGCCTGCCTTCCTGCCTTCCTGCCTTCCTGCCTTCCTTCCTGCCTTCCTGCCTGCCTGCCTGCCTTCCTTCCTTCCTTCCTTCCTTCCTGCCTTCCTTCCTGCCTTCCTTCCTGCCTTCCTTCCTGCCTTCCTGCCTTCCTGCCTTCCTTCCTGCCTT